GGAATTCTCGAGCAGATCAGTGGGTTAAGAACTACACACTAAAAATATCCACAGATGGGATAGCTTGGACAGAATACAAGGAAGGTGGACAAGTCAAGGTATATAGAAAATACAGTATGAGACATAGCTGCTAAAAAAAAAACTGAGTGTACATTAAGAAAATTAATATAACACGGATTATTAAGTCTGACAATATAGGATATCTTACAGGTAAAATGATACCGAAATATTCTCCTAATTGTTGATCTTAGTGGTATCTGCACTGTTTATATGTTTTATACCCTCTATTTTCTCAATTTTCAAAAAAAAGTTATCGATGACATGTGACTATTTCTTTGCGTCAAGTTTCTAAGAGGAAATGATGACAGGGACTCAGAAGTGAAGCATGTTGTTTATGGAGTGTTAACAAGATATTTGCAATTCCTGCCACAAACACACCAGGGTCGGGTGTGTATGAGAACAGAGATGTTTGGAGTGGAAAAAACTTTAAGTGAGTTTATTTGTTTTAACATGTTTGCCTTAATCATATTATTATTATTATCACTATTATTATTATTACTGTTATTATTATTATCATTATAAATACTCCTTTTTTTAATGTCAAAGTGTCTGGAAAACTACAAATGTTATTATTATTATTATTATAAATGTCATTATTATTATTATTGTATTGTAGGGTAGTCTAAGATGCTCTTTTAGTCTTTACTTTTTTAGTCTATTTTGATGACGTATGCTTGTTGTTTTGATAACTGGTTGAAATCTAAGAAGTCAAAGACACTAAGCCACCTATAATGGCCTGTTATTTCTATGCTCAATGTGGAATTAATTGTCAATAAATATTAACCAAGGAAACTAAATTTAAGTTATGGGAGAATAACTGAAAGGAAAAAGCTGAATTTGAGTTTATTGTTGTACTCAAAACTTCATTATGAACTTTTAAAAAGTCAGGGTATCTTCAATTTGTGATCAATTGTAATTTTTGTGAGGTAAAGAAAGCAAATTAATGGCCATACAGTATCCAGTAAAATACCGACTAATTTTAACTGAGATTTGATCTTCAGTTCTCCTTAAACCTACTTGTTTGATCATTTGAATCATTTGACATAATTTGTGTAAAGATGCTCGTAGCCTCATCCTGGTTATCACTTCTATCTTATTGATAAAGGAAAGAAAACAACTCTGAAATGCACATGCCATGTGCTGATGCATTCTGTGGCGCATGCGTAATATCTAATGGGTGAAAAGTCTAATGGGTTTGATAAACAGCAAGGCTACCTACACAAACAGGAAAGACTAATTAGCTGAATGTAATGCAATGAGAGTCGTAAAAGGCCTTGCTGATTTGTCATAAATATAGTCTGTGAAACAGTTCATAGGTCTAATCTCGATGGTTTCTTTAGAATGCTAACCAAAACAATATCTCAAGACATTCAAAATGAACAACAAAGTACTTGAGAAACAGCCAACCTTCGAGAACTAAAACCTAAATAAACTCCCCTTGAGGACACTAAGCAAGGTCAAGGACAAACCCAAACACCACTAGCGGTCAAGGGCTCATCACTCAAAATGTAAAGATAAAAATGTGGACTTGCACAAGACTCGCGCAAGGATTTCAAGATACAGGGCTAAACAATTCCGAACACTTAGTCAGAAAACTCGTAGTTTTAGTAGTTCCCAAACACTTCAAATTTTAGTAGTTCATAGCATCTTGTTAAGATCCTATTTCGGGATGTTTTGTCGATGATGACGATGTTCTTGATTCCACTTCATGTTTTGCAAGAGCTGAAGTCGTCCGCTGCAAGGTAGATGCAGAACACAACAAATTTCCTTAACTGGTATCCCATGTTTGGCAAATCCCATTCAAGCTTCTGCTGTGGGAAACTAGCCACGCTGTAAGGTTACAGTGGCTCTAACGGCTGCTGTTTGGAGAACTGTAGGCACTTGGCACAGTTTGCGGTCATTTCCCTTACGTCTCTGATATACCTGGCCAAAATAGACAACTTCCTGTTTTTAGTACACATTTTTCTGTATCCTTGGTGCATGATTTGCAACATTTTCTGGCGGGGCTTAGAGGAAATTACTAGGCGGTGTCCCTCGAGGATAAGGCTATTTTATTCTGTTACTCCAGAGCTCTCTAAAGTGGGGTCATTCATCGGATATTCTGGTCACCCATGGTTTAACACATCCTTTAAGTGGGCAAGTACAATGTCTTCCATTGATCGGTGCACTCTCATATTTCTTGTGGTTTGTCAGAACTAACCAGTAAAGGGCTCGTTATCATTAGACAATGGCGCCAGGATGTTTACAATTTGCATTGAAAGATGAAGGCTGATTTTAAATTATTACTTTGCAGCTTGTGAACCGGAAGCCATTGGCTTGGCCTCTAGCGCGACAATTCCAGACAACAGCTTCTCTGCCTCATCGTATTATGACGATAGGTATAAACCCTCTTTTGGTCGATTGAATGGAGCTAATCGGGGTTGGGCACCCAAGACTACGACCAATTCTGCTGACTTCTTACAAATTGACCTAGTGTTTGAGTACGTTATCTGTGCTGTAGCCACCCAAGGAGCTCATGGTATAGACGAGAGGACAACAAACTACAAGATTCAGTTATCAATGGATGGTATCACTACTATTACGTACCAAGAAAGCAATGTTGAAAAGGTAGATTTACACGAGGGTCATGCGCAGATATATGCACATATGAAAAAAGCTAAAGATATCGGCATCCTAGAGCGCTGACTCAATTTTTGAATCAAGAGGAGGGACACAAAGGAAGTGTATACTTGGTTAAGACTCAGTCTCAATTACCTTTTTCAGCAAATTGTTAAATGTGTCTCGAATATGCATTGTTTGTTAAGGAAAAATTACAAACCCACGTGCGTATACATTTTATGGTGTATACAGTCATGTAATTATATAGTTCACCTTCAATACTATTTAAATGTTAAGTACTCCACGTCTTGTGGACTTACTAACCATTACCTCTTAACTTTACCCTTTAATTTACGGAACTGTTTAGAACAATACAGAGGAGATATTAACTACAGTTGTTACCCACTCAGGAATACTAATCGTTGTGTGGTCACTGAATAGGATGGAAAGTGTAACAACGGAACTAAGCGTTTATGTAGGAACAAAATAATATTATTTTTGTCAACTTGACTGCCTTTTGTTCTTTGTAAAAACCGAAGCTAAGTCTCTCTACAGCATTAGCCCTTACAGACATGGAAATAGCTGATACATAATAGTGGTAAATGATGCAATAAAATAAAGAAAATTTTGATACGATAATTTCGAATTTGTACCACGAACTATAGGTCTTTTCTGGAAACTCAAATCGAAATGGCATCATTAAAAACAGTCTTCAAGAATTTGCAAGTGCAAAGTTTATCCGCTTTTGGCCAACAGCATATAAAAGTTGGAAGGTTCTGAGAGTGGAAGTTTATGGAGTACTTCTAACTAAAGGTATTTATTTAAAACTGACTATAACATATATTGTCCAGATCAGTTAAAGAATTATTTAGTTAATCAAGCAATCAGAAGTACACAAAAAATCTCTAAGGGATACTACCTTATCAGTTTTAGGGAGAACCATGTCTTTAGCAATGCGACAGTCTTCGTTCAAATATGCTTATGCGAAAGACTGGAACGATCTCCCAAAAGAATTAAGAGAACTCAGCTCCTCCTTTTTCATTCTTTTTCCGCATTACATGGACCTCGACTTTGTCTTGGTCCATAAAAATGCAAAAACAAAAACAAAAAACTCCGCCAAAGTCCAGCCAGCTGGACCTCACGCTTAGTCAATGACACAAATGCATTGATGGAGCCCTGGTAAGGTGAGAATTTTTTAAAAGAATTCAAGAGCTTACCAAAAGAGCATTTGACAATCAATAACTTTAATTCTCTTTGAGCCTTACCTCATCTACTCTACTGAGATCCTTCAAGTTTTCCGTTTGCTAAAGGAAACAAAGTTGTACTTACAATATTTTTATTCATACTTGATATAATGCAGTGTGTGATGTGATTGTTTGCATTGCAAGTGCATTGAAGATTCTGGAAGCTATAAGGTTTCCATTGCACCACAATCGCTTGCCCAACTATCCGTAGAGCACGTCTTCACGCTTAGGATATAAATAATGTATATCTAATGTATATACACAGTCTCCTCTGTTGATGATCCTCCACACTGCTCTTGGGAACATTTAATGCTTTCTTAGTTGACAAGGATGATTAATTCACTTTCGCATCAATGATCAACAGAGAATAAAAACACATAACTGTTGTTCTTTAACACTTCAGTTCCGTCACAACCTCCTACTGCCTTCAATTTGACTGCAAGCTCTTCTACCAGTATTACAGCTTCCTGGCAGCTACCACCAGTCTTTGCCAGGCATGGAAGAAACATTACAGGGTTTAAACTGTTTTACAGAGAGAGGTGCTTTTCCGGGTCTTTTTCCTTCTTAAATATTACCAGTGAATCGACATTAAGCAGACTTGTGACTGGGCTCCAAAAGTACACAGAATATGAATTTCAAGTCCTGGCATATACTTCTGATGGTGATGGACCGAAGAGCCCTGTCGAGGTGGAGAGAACACAGGGAGATGGTATGTGCTAGATGAAGGTGGAAGCCAAAAAAATTGTCACAATTTTGAATGGAAGAAATTTCAGTGGACCTGCAAATGAAATTAAAGAAAGAAATGATCTTGTTTACAATTGAAGAAAGAAAGCTAGAAAAAGTTCAGGCTTCAATAGGATTCAAAACCGTACCTCCTATAACTGGGCTATGAAGCCACACGTTGAGAGCGAGGCAAGTTTTAGAGGCTTCTCTGTTGGGTCAACGTAAAATTCTTATTTGTTAATGGCTGCCCTGCTACAGATAATGGAAGACATGGGGCTTCCACGGTGTCCCTGTAAGGTCCTCTAAATAAATTACGGTTCCCATAGCTGCAAATGCTTTGGAAAACAGCCGTTAGCCCCCATTCTAAGCCAATGGGTCTGTGTTTCCTGGTCCTATGTAAAATTTCGAACATATCTTTATCAATTTTTTAGGTTGTGTTCAGGATGATCTTGGAATGGAGGGTAGAAACATTCCAGATAGTAGGATAACTGCTTCTTCTTCCAGGACACCAGCCGAGAATGGTCGACTAAACTATGTATTAGGAGCGCCATGGTGTGCAGAAACAAATGACACTAGCCCATATCTACAGATTGATCTACAGACAGTTCATGTAATCTGTGCTGTGTCCACACAAGGGAATTCTCTGGCAGATCAGTGGGTGAAGAACTATACACTACAAATATCCACGGATGGGACAACTTGGACGGAATACATGGAAGGTGGACAAGTCAAGGTATATAGGAAATACAGTATGAGACTTAACTGCTCAAAAAAATTACAGTGTACATTTATGACTGCAACATGGACTATAAGGTCTGATGGTGTAGAATATCCCACAAAGATGGAAGTCCTAGATAAGAATTTTTGATCTTATTAATAATCATTACGGCTGCTAGTTACATTGGTGATATTTTAATCCCTGCCACTTTTGCAACCTGAAAAATTAGTTGTTGATGATGACTTGTGACTATTTGTTTGTTTCAAGTTTATGAGGGGAAATAATGACAGGAACTCAGAAGTAAAGCATGTTGTTTATGGAGTGTTCACAAGATATCTGCGTTTCCTGCCACAAATACACCAGAGTGGGGTGTGTATGAGAACAGAGGTGTTTGGAGTGGAACAAAAGCCAAGTGAGTTTGAAACTTACTTATACTTATTTTTGCATGTCTGCTATTATCACGTTGTTATTAGTTTTATGTTGTAGGTAGTCAAACAAATAGTCACAAGTCATCATCAATAACTAATTAAGTATTAGCTTCTCTATATATATTTTATTCTTTTAATTTAGTCTTTAGTTTTTTATAGAGTTTCTCCTTTAATTTCGATTAAAACTATTTATCATGCTAATCACTAGTTTATACCAGCCAATCTATCAGATTGCTGATTAGTTTTATCAGTTGAATAAAACGTATTATTATTATTATTATTGCGAAACTCTTTTAATCTTTAAAAAGGTTTTTTGAGACCTACTAGCTTTTCTTTGGTGATTCATGCTTGTGTTTTAGATTAGTGGCTAAATTGTACACACTACTGTTTCTACACTCATCAAAGACACCAAGCCACCCAGGATAATCTGTTATTCTCGTGCTCAGTGTTGAATAAGCTGTCAATCAATTCATCATTGAAACAAAACTCACATCAAAGGAGAATAGTCGATAGGAAAGGGCTTATGAATGTGAATTTACTGTTGGTACCTTTGAATTTTGATGAGTTTGAAACTCATATTTATTTTTACGTGTTTGATATTATCATATCATTGTATTTGTTGTAATGTAGAGGGTCCAGAATAGGTTTTCTTCGGGATCCGAGATTGGGTTTATTTGAAGACCGGGATCTGGGAGTTTAGAGTAAGACTGGAGTGAGATGCGGGACTTTTTATATGAAGAGGACACAAAATCGGCAATTTTGAGAGGTGGGATTTGGGAAATAGTCACTTAAATAAACTGAGAAACGAAAAGTCCGTTGATGAGAATTTTCACAGAAACTGATCTGCATGTAAGTTCTAAAAGGCCTTGTCCCCCAGCCAGTCGTTTTTTAGAGGATAAGATTTCCCTTCTTACCACAAATGTTATACCAGTTATGTGGCATGGCATTAGTAGACGTGGAGAATAGTCATTTCGTTGTGCATCAACTTTGAAAACTTCTGAAATTAACCATATAATCGTTTTAGTGAAAAGAGATAAGTTATGCCGTATATCAGGGTGAACAAAGACTTCAACAGATCAATGCTTGTTAAGAAAATAGGTCGTCGACTTACTTATCTAAAGTCTGGATTTACCACAATGCATTTTTTGTGTGAATCATGAATAAATAATGACATGATTTCTTGTGCAATTTTGTGTGAATAAGCAGTTGTAAAAATTTTCCAGACTACAGATTCCACTTGTCCCAAACCAGTCGTGCAATTTTGTTTGCAATTTTGCAAGTTTGCAAAATTTTTTCATGCTTATAGCAAAACCGAAATGGACTCAAAATCGTCTTATTTCCAGTAGTACTGTAAGTGGCCAAACCTATTATTATAATGATAGATACTTAACTTTTTATGCACTCATCAAAGAAAGTAAGCCGCCTTCGATTTTCTGTTATTCTCATGATATTCAACATCAAATTGTTTCGATATTCACCGAGGGAAACTTTATTATGAACTTTTATAAAATCTGGTTATTTTTTCTTTGTAGATCAGATGTAACTTTTGTGATTTGAAATGCACATTAAAGGGTCACGCTCAACTAGGATCAATGCATTGATGGAGTATTTGCCATTGTTAGTTAATATATGAAAGTTACTGCGAAGATCGCTCTCATACTCGTATTTGCCATTCTTAACATTTTCTGTATTATTTTTTTTATACATTTTTTCTTTAGGGAGAGTTGGTTATGTATTGATATTTTTCAGGATGTTCTATGCAAGCCATTGGTGTAGCCAGCAGTGACACCATTCCAGACAGCAGCTTTTCAGCCTCATCAGAATACAATTCAGGATTTGCAGCTAAATACGGTCGCCTAAATGATGCAACATCATGGGTACCCAGTGGCAACAATAATGCTAATGATTACCTTCAAATTGACCTGCTGTTTGAGTATGTCATCTGTGCTGTAGCTACACAGGGAAATCCAAGGTTTAGTGAGTGGACAACAAAGTACAAGTTACGGTTAGCACTTGAAGATCCCAAGTTTGTCACCTATCAGGAAAACAGTACTGATAAGGTTGGTGTATACGAAGCTCAAGGTTGTTTTTAGTCAGGTGAATAGTGCATGTACAGTGTATGCACATAAGCAATGCATGCAGAATGCTTGCCGATCCTTCATGTATGGCAAAACCATTGAGCTGAGAAAATTAGTCTTGTTAACATCATTTGTGTGTCGATTTGTGAATACACATACTCGACATTCAAGACTGCAACACCATGCATGTATTTATCTAAACAGGCACTTGGATGTGAATGTAAAATGTAGGTCTCATTCACTTTAATCTTAGTCTATAGTAAAGCCCTTTTTCTTTCAAACTATGTCTGATTAGTCATGCAGTCCAATTGTTTGTTTCATCTTCCTTTCCACTGTTGTTTTTCTGAACTTTGCATTAGTCAGTTTGTTTAATACCCAAGGGATTATATTTGAATTGTGTGAAATTGAGTCTCTTAGAAAAAATCTATTTTGGTGCTTTGTCTGACCAATGCCTCTAATGATCTCTTACGAGCGACATATACTTATCCCTCAACTATCAGCAGAAATTATCTTTCAAATACAGGGTCACATACTGGCTTTGTACTAGTTTTTTGAAAGAAACAATAAGTTATTCAATAGCATTTTAGCCATTACAGACATTTTCTCACACACATCTCCATGGTTCATGGTTCAATTATTTGGCAATCAATTTCTAAGCTGAAAGTGGCTTTTTATGAAGTAGCTGATACTTAAAGTAGTTAATGATACAGTATACGAAAAATGCAAATATGGCGTCCAATTTGAATTGCTATTGTTCTGGACTGACTAGCCTCGTCTTCACATAGAAACACAAAAAGATTATCACATGTGTGAGAGGCTAGTGAGTCCAGAACAATGGCATTTCAAATTGGACGCCACATTTGCATTCGGTGTATATTAAGAAAATATTGTGATGAAATAATTTCAAATTTTGCACTACCATCTACAGGTCTTTGCTGGAAACTCCGATCGAAATAGTGTTGTAAAAAACAGTCTTCAGGATTTTGCAAGTGCAAAGTTTATCCGCTTTCAGCCCATAGCATATCGTGGCTATAAAAGTCTGAGAGTTGAAGTTTATGGAATACTTCTAACTAAAGGTATTTATTTGCTCCTCTTGTGTTTGTCTCCCCTTGAGGAAAATTTATGTTGTGGGTCAAATGTTTTCTTTGGTTTGAATTTTTTTGAACTGGTAGAAGTTTTTCAAACTGGTGGGAAATATTCAAACTGGTTTAAAATTTTTGAGCACACAACTCCTTCTCATTTATTTGTATCTATTCATTTAAAATACTCTGTGTAAAACAAACTTGTGATATTCTCCAATTTCAAACCGCATGTCCACTATGATACATGTAAGTCTTTGTTTGGAATTTAATTCAAGATGAGACAGAGGGTTCTATAGCTGTTACTGGTAAAGGGAAGTAATTCTCTTTGACAAACTCATCTCAAAAGAAAACATCCTATACAACAAACAGTAAGCTGTTTTCCAACACTTTTTCTCCCGACTTGCAAAATATTTAAAGGATAACAAACTTTGTGCTAAAATATGCTTGTACAGTGTATATTTGTCCTTAGAGATTGTCTATTCCTTGTAGCTGACAATTTTCCCTTAGCGTAGCTCCCGGAACACTGTTCACATCTTGGAACAAATTATGTCCAAAGACAAATATCCATGCATATTTTTGTGCCAGAAAGAGGCAATTGTTTATATATTCATGAAGCCTTGATCAAGTGATAATTTTTTTAAAGTAACTTTAGAGCTGACCGGAGGAAAATGACCCTAACCGTCCTTACCTTTTTTATCTTTTAAACCCTAAAGTATCTTATCCACTCAGCTGGATTATTATTGATGCTTGATATGATACAATGTATGATGTGGTTGTAGTACTGTACACTATAGATTCTGGAACCCAGTATGTATGTATGATGTGATTTTATCATTGTTCATGGTAAATTCTTGGACTCAGTAGCTTGTTATAATACATTATTTTTATTCATCTTTGATATAATCCAGTGAGTGATCTGATTGTTGCATTGCAAGTGCACTGAGGATTCTGGAACATAGTAAATTGCCATTGCAACACAATCGCTTGCCCAACTATCCGTAGAGCACATATTCACGCCTAGGATATAAATAATGTATATCTAATGCATATACACAGTCCCCTCAGGTGATGATCCCCCGCACTGCTGTTGGGAGCATCCAATGCTCTCTAAGTTCACAAGGTTCGTTAATTTACTTTCACATCCATAATCCACGGAGAAATAAAACACATAACTGTTGTTGTTTAACGTTTCAGTTCCAATACAACCTCCCACTGCCTTCAATTTGACTGCGAGCTCTTCTACCAGCATTACAGCTTCCTGGCAGTTACCACCAATCTTTGCCAGGCACGGAAGAAACATTACAGGGTTTAAACTGTTTTACAGAAAGAAGGACTTAGCAGGGTGTTTTTCCTTCTTGAATATTACCAGTGGATCGACATTAAGCAGACATGTTACTGGGCTCGAAAAGTACACAGAATATATATTTCAAGTGTTGGCCTACACATCTGAGGGTGATGGACCAAAAGGTTCTGTTGAAGTGGAAAGAACAATGGAAGGTGGTATGTAACAATCCAGAGATAATGAAAAAATGTATGAACCATAATTTATAAAGTTTTTCACCTTCATTAAGTGTTGCTTGCTAATGAGATGGCAAACATGTGATGAGAAAGGTTTACTGTAATTTGCGTAACTAAACGAAACGAAATGGAAATTTCTAATTTGCGAGACAGAAATCTGTTAATAATTGGCGAAGTACAGATCTGTAATTTGCGACATAGAAGTCTGTTAATGATTTTTGAAATGAATAGAAATCTTTAATATTGGAAATAGTAATCTGCTAATGATTTTCGAAATAGGAATCTGTAATTTGTGAAATAGAAATTTGTAATTCGCGAAATGGAAATCTGTAATTTGCGAAACAAGAATGTCTGCGGGGAACTCCTCAGGCTAGAGAATGAATCGGTCAGTGCACCACGAGTTTGGAGTGCATACGCAGCCCACCAAATCATAAAAAAAGAACTAGCGAAAGTGGGAAATGAAAAATCTCCGTGGTGTTCTTTGCGAAATCTCCACTATGTTCGTGAATAAATCAATGCGTTATCTACGTGAAAGAAGAGTTGCGCCATCAAGCCAAAAGGAGCAAATGTTATTCGGTCGATGTGTTGGGTGGAAAGACTTATCGTTTTCATGTCAGAGCTGTAACTATTAAACCTGGAGCAAATGGGACGATAACCATAACTACCAAGGAATACGGTAAACTTTGCTTTCATATCTTTAAAATGACTTCTCATGACTGATTATATATTAGAACAACAAGAATTCTGATATAACCATATTTGTATCCTAGAAAAGACGAATTTTTATATATTGTGTTGATTAAAAGTACAGACAGTAGCTGGTCACCCAAAATAACTTAAGGGCTAATAGCGTGTAGGGAAATAATAGCAATTAAACTTTT